ACAAAAGTTCTTTCTACTTCTCTCGTTACGTAACGTCGGCCTTGAAGAAAAAGTGGCGACTTCAACTGTGACTTTAATTGTTATGTTATCAATTCAGAGGAGCCGCAGACGAGTAAAGGATGTCCACGGGCCAATGGCTATTTCAAGCACGAGGATCCAACGGCTTGCGACCGTTTCGTGAACTGCATCGACGGCGTGGCACAGACAATGCCCTGTCCACCCGGCTTGATCTACGAGGACAAAATGTCGAGCTGCGTTTGGCCGGCCGATGCGAGCAGGCTGTGCGAGAACGTGAAGAGGGACGTTCTGGACGATGGATTCGTCTGTCCGGACGGCGACGTGCCCGGGCCGCTCGGTAGGATTCTGCCGCATCCAACGTATCCTCATCCGGACGACTGCGCCAAGTTCTACATCTGCAAGAACGGCGTGGTGCCGCAGAAAGGGCAATGCGAGCCTGGCACCGTTTACAGCGAGGACAGCTTCAAGTGCATGGACCCGGAGAACGTGGCTGGATGGTAAGACTAAGAGCTATTGCCACGTCGAAGATTCAGGGAACTGAGCTTCCAGTTCTGTGAATTTCCTTCCAAAAGTTGGAGAAACTTTTGTTAGTGTTAGCAGTTCTTAGACGCAACGAGAGATCCTTAGTTATTTGTTGTCCCTTCTTGTTACAGCGAGGACTACTACAAAAACAAGAGTTGAACAGCGACTGAAGGTGCCAGTCAGATACGTCTGTAACGCTTAATCTTTTTACACGTACGATTAGGGGGAACAATAAATGAGCAGCCTTTGCGTACAACACCCACGATAATTACATTCCTTCCTCCTTATGTAAATACAGCACATGACTTTGTCAAATGAAGCAAGAAAGGCGTTGTTCATCGTTTCAAGGAATTGTGGAATTTCTCAAAAGAAACTGTGGATCAAATAGGCTCTAGCCAGGGTTTCTCCAAGCGTCGACTGCATGGAAAGGAATTTATTGAATAACGAGTAATGACAGCTTTTGGCCGGGATCGTTGATAATTGATCTTGTTTGAATACAATGAGCGATGCATAATGACTCCTCAAGCTGGCAAGACAATTTCACTTAATTCAACCGATTGCAACCTTTCTCTTTACGTAATTTACGATGTGCTCGATGAAACGCGCCGGCCGAGCCCGTCTCTCTCTCTCTCTCTCTCTCTCTCTCTCTCTCTCTCTTTATTTGAAAAATTGTGAAAGTCTCTATTCATTGAATATTCCAACTTACGTTTTCTCACACGTACGTATGTGTCATTTTATCATCATTATTATTAGATATTTAATTATTTCTGTATTTCCATTTTCTATTCGCTTTATACAGACTTTGGAGTGATCGTGAGAGAAAGAGAGAGAGAGAGAGAGAGACACGACCGTGACGAATGTATTTATTTTTCCGACTGGTTCATCAACGATCAAGCGATCATAAGTACCGATCGAGATCACGAGGCATTCGTCGGCTTTCACCATCCATGCTGGGAGATCTGGTTCTCCCTTGGTGAACCGCTGCGATTCAAGTAGCGATAACTGTTGCGCAAGGCACTCCGGCTTCAGGCCTCCGGGGATTAGCTTCGTGCCTACGAACATACATAGGTATATCACTTATGTCCACGTGTATGAGCGTGCCTCGCTGACACGGTTCGTACGAATGTACGATTGATGAGTTTCAACTCTGTCTGACGTGGTATAGGGATCGTTTGGAACAAAAAAAAAAAAAGAAGAAAAACGCTCTCCCGCGTCTGGTGTCTCTCCCCTTTAGAATTTAGCCAGTTTAGAACTTTTCGCTGGTCACGCTTGCCCGCTCCGTTCTGCTCGGTTCTGCTCGGCTTGCTCGCCAGGCTCGAGACTCGGACCTCTCCGAAGGCGCACGAAGAGATGGGACGAGGGTGGGGTAGCACGGGAGAGCACAAGAGTACAAGAGCAAGTGAAGGGAGAAGCTCTCTGTCTGCCGAGAGTCAGACTCGATAACTAAGAGAAGCGTCAGTAGTCAGAGTCGACCCGAGTGCACGATCAGACCGAGCGAGCACTATGACCGAACAGCGACCGCGGCCTATCGTCACCTTGCTCATCAGCCTGCTGACTTCTCTCGCTTCCGGTAAGTCGCTTCTCTTTCGATTGGTCGAATCGAGCACAGCTGCTGGTTGGCTTACCTCGACCTCTGGATCTCGTCCATCGATGATGCTCCACTGCATTCATCGTTCTCCAGTCTGCATCCCGGTTGGCGTATTCGAGTTTTACTACATCCGCTGCGTAACAACTTCCATAACTTTCACCGCCTCCTCCAGCCATATGGTTACGTCGCCGCGACCTATGATATAATGGCGGAGTCTAGCATGTTTGCACATATTCTCTTCTCTCATGTCATACCGGAGCGTGTATTCCAAGCAATAGCAATGCGATCGTATCAATTACCTCAATTACGTGTTCATCGATAAATTGAACGTGGGATCTGGGATAAAATGAGTAAATTTTTTCCAAAATTTATAGGTATAGGTATAGGTATAGGTATAGTTATAGGTATAGGTATAGGTATAGGTATAGGTATAGGTATAGGTATAGGTATAGGTTAGGTTTAGGTTAGG